CTAATAAAATAAATAATAATTTGATTGATTTAGATGAAGAATTAGTTGATGATGATTTTCATTGGTCTGAAATTTGTACAAATTGGATTGATTTAATTAATCGTGAAAATCAATTTGATAATGAAGAAGATAATCATTTATTATAAATAGAACAAAGTTTTTATGCAATTGGAAGAAATATACATCCAGCTGATGATGAAACTGCAAAATTGAAATTAAAATATTTGTTTAAAGAAAATCTTAAAGCACCAACATTTTTAGGAATTGAATAATAATAATTCAACTGAAAATTAATGAAGGTAAATATTTTCAACAGTTATTATAAGTTATTTTTTATTTATTAGTATTAATATATATGTTATTTATTAAAATTTTAGGATAAATAAATTGTCAATTCAAATAATTAGTTTAGAAGTATCAAGTTAATTTCTTTTTTCTTACATACACTACTTGGACAAAAGTAGGCGGACACCATATTTATTAATTACTCAAAAACATATATGATAAGTGGGGTCAAAATTTTAACCATTATTAATTAAACCATATACAAAACTAATATTTAGTTGGCCAACTATTATTCTTAATGCATGCCTCAATTCTGCGTAACATACTTTCAATTAAATTAATTAACGTATTATTAGGAATTTGATTCCATTCTTCATGCAAAGCAAACTCCAATTTCTTTACATTTTTTGCAAGTTTAGAACGTTTTCTAATGCGTCTTTCTAGCTCTGACCATAGATGTTCGATTGGATTCAAGTCAGGTGATTGACTTGGCTAATTTTTCAAAATTTTAACTTTTATTGCTTCTATCTATTTTTTAACGTTTTTAGCGGTATGGACTGGAGCATTGTCATCTTGAAATAAATACATTCATCCACTATAATTATTATTAATAAAAGGAAGCAAATGTGTTTCAAGTATTTGAAAATAGTCACAATGGTTCATTTTTCCATTAACTTTTATAAGTGGTCCTATTCCATTTCCTGAAAAATGACCCCACATGATTACATCTCTACCATCATGTTTTATTGAAGGAGTCATGTTTTGAATATTAAATCTTGTTTAGGAGTTCTCCAAACATGACCTGGACCATCATTTTTAAATATAGTAAAGCAGCTTTTATCATTCCAAATAACTGATTTCTATTTTCTAACAGACCAATCTTTTCTTTCAATATACTATTTTAAACGATTTTCTCTTTGTTTATTATTAAGAAGAGATTTGAATGCTAGAATACGTAAAAAAATATTAAGTTCATGCAAATTTCTTCTTATAGTCTTGGTAGAAACTTGCAGTTCAGTTTTCTCTTGAAAATTATTTTTTATTTGTTCAGCCGATTGACGATT